TGTTTGTCGTCTACAGGCCACATTTCTTAACTAATAATCTTGAAACTTTGCATACACATTCTTTGTACCCTAAGGAACATCCCTATCGTTTGGGGTGCATGCCCAACCCCCAGGGGCAGAGCCACGCCCATTTTCTTTTCGTGTGTCTTTGTGTCGCCTACAGGGCGCAATTCTTACTGGATTTTCTTCAAACTTGGTATACTTATTCCTTATACCCCAAGGAAGATCCCTATTGTTTTTGGTGCATGCCCGACCCCCAGGGGCAGAGCCACGCCCATTTCTAGTATTTGTTTGTTTGTCGTCTACAGGCCACATTTCTTAACTTATAATCTTGCATACACATTCTTTGTACCCTAAGGAACATCCCTATCGTTTGGGGTACATGCCCAACCCCCAGGGGCAGAGCCACGCCCATTTCCCATTTTCTTTTCGTGTGTCTTTGTGTCGCCTACAGGGCGCAATTCTTACTGGATTTTCTTCAAACTTGGTATACTTATTCCTTATACCCCAAGGAAGATCCCTATTGTTTTTGGTGCATGCCCGACCCCCAGGGGCAGAGCCACGCCCATTTCTAGTATTTGTTTGTTTGTCGTCTACAGGCCACATTTCTTAACTTATAATCTTGCATACACATTCTTTGTACCCTAAGGAACATCCCTATCGTTTGGGGTACATGCCCAACCCCCAGGGGCAGAGCCACACTTTATATACTTATTCTTTGTACCCTAAGGAACATTCCTATCATTTGGAACATCCTTATCATTTGGAGTAGGCCCTACATGCCCAACCCCCAGGGGCAGAGCCATGCCAATTTTTTTCATATGAATTGCTTATCCCTAACGATGATCCCTATTGTTTTTTTACTCCCAGGGGCAGAGCCACGCCCATTTTCTTTTTTTATGCCTGTGTGTCACCTACAGGCCACAATTCTTAATCTATCGTCTTGAAAAGAGTTCATATGAATTGCTTATACCTAACGCCCATCCCTTATATTTATTTATTTGTTTGTCATCTACAGATCGCATTTCTTATCGTATCACCTCGAAACTTAGCATACATATTCCTTCTATCCTAAGGCACATCCCTATTATTTGTGGTGAATACCCAACCCCCAGGGGCAGAGCTACGCCCATTTTCTTTTTTTTATGTCTGTGTGTCACTTGCAGACCGCATTTCTTAATCGATCATCTTGAAAACTTTTTTATACTTATTCCTTATAGCCTAAGGCTACTTGTTTATACTTATTCCTTAATCCTAAGGCTGACCTCTATTATTATTTTTGGTGCATGCTCGACCCCTTGGGACAGAGCCACGCCTAATGTTTGTGTGTCTTGTGTTTTGCCTACAGGCCGCAATTCTTAACAGATCCTTTTGAAACTTTGCATACCTATTCGAAACGTCATGCTTTTAGAATAGACATTGATTGTTTTAAAATAAAAATTGTGTTCTGTTAATGTGAACGAAATGTTAAACTGATAGCAGTCCTACAACCCAGTTTTATTTCACAGACCCTCAATGCAAACTGGACCATATCAAACAAAACAGGAATGTGGACGTATATTGCTGCGTTAGCGATGCTCTTGTTATTCTTGCTGCGTATAATGACCTGGCGCTTGCCAAGAGATCTCATCATTCTGGTAAAAAAATCAGCAAATACCTGTTTGGTTTCACTAGGGAGTGCAGCAGCAGATGAGTGATTCTTGCCCTGTTCCTTAAGAGATAATCCAAAATTCTTCTTTTGTTGTCCCCCGCTGTTCGACGAAAGCAGGGGACTATTAAAATGGGTTCGTCCGTCTGTCTTGTCTGTCCGTTACACTTTTCTTTCTAATTGAGCTAGAATGTTCAAACTTGGTGTAGGTGTTTATTAGGCCAATGCCTTGATGGAGTTCGAAGATGAGCATTTTCTCCTTAGGGTAAGCAGAGATAAACAATTTGATTGGTTGATGCTTTGGGACACGATAACTTTAGTTCTAATTAAGTGAGAGCAATGAAACTCCGAATATAGATTCATTATATCATTACCTTGACTAAGTTCAATCATGAATATTTCTACTCAGGCTGAGCAGAGCAATAAACAATTCGATTGGTCGAGACATTGGAACACAATAACTCGCATTCTAATTCATGTAGAATGTTCAAACTTGGTGTAGGCTTGCATTAGGTGAATGCCTTGACGGAGTTCGATGATGAACATTGTATGCTTACGGTAACTAAACATGACCTCTTTTGGTCGTTTTTTTATAGCCAGGGATTCCCCGACAATTGCAATGTTTTGAAAAGGATTTGAAGCAAAATTATGATAAATTAATTAGTTTGAATATGTTTTAGTCAAAATATATCATCAAATCACCCAATTTGTACCCGGAAATGAATCTTTAATATATCGGTTATTGGTTTATCTACCCATATAAAATATCCATACATTATATTTTATATCGTACTGTAAGTATAGCCATAAGCATAAGTATTTAATGATAAAACAGCAAATCGGTGCTGGGCTGTTTTGCCATCAGGAGCGAACCTGATTAGCGAGCCACAAACTTACTCACTTAGCCCTCGTGGCCTCCGTAAATAATTGTACATTTAATATTCCCACTTTTCACTAATACTATACTTTTTAATTTCATCCATTTTCAGTTAAAGGTTGTTGTGGTGTTGTTATAAAACATGGTTTGAATGGTGAAAATACTGCTTTAACATTTAATCAAAAAACCACAATTTTTCAAATAGAAATAACTCATGGTAATGTTTCATTGTATGTGGGGGCCACGGTGGCTAAGTGGGTAAGACGCTGGCTCGCTAGCCTGGAGGTCGGGTGTTCCATCCCTGCATTGGCCAAGAAAGTTCATCCGGCGTGGTTCAACCAGACATGGACAGCTGTCTAGTCGTTTGGATGGGACGAAAAACCGAGGTCCCGTGTACATATTGTCGTGCACGTAAAAAAAAATCCCTTGACAGTTGGAAGTCGATATAAGAGTAGGCCGTAGTGCGCTGTCCGGGCAAAATTTACCTCATAGCACACTGTATGGCGTATGTCCGGCTTCATTAGCCTAGTTCGGAGCAGAACAGTACGACGTTAAACCCCATTTCATTTCTTTTCATTTCATCATTATATGTAAGGAATAGAGCCGTTAATTTTATAAGCCATTCTTTAGTTTTAAAACAAACGTGGGTAATTGTGTCATGATGTAAGTAGGGAAAGAGCATGTGGAAGGTTGTATAGCACTTATAATTATAGGTAATTATGATGATTCATGATCACTATCATCATCAACAGTAGTAGAAGAGTTATAATTTTTAATTATGACTTTTAATGTTGAATCGATACTTATGCCTATGGCTATACTTACAGTACAATATAAAAGATAATGTATGGATATTTTATTATATGGGTAGATAAACCAAAAACAGTCATATTAAACCTAACTCATCAACCAGTTTTGCATCGTGTATATCATTATATACACGATGAATAACGAGGGGAGATAACTCTGACTTGCACAGCTAATTCCACAACCATGCCAGCTGATCAGAATTTACCAATGATATACAGGTGATTTAAAAATGGTATATATTATAGTAATGGTGATACCTTACCAGATATAGATGATGGTATAAACTGATACAGGAGATGATTTAAGATATATAGCTGGAGATGATACGGACTATAAAACAAATTTACAACATTTAAAACACAGCCGTGTGGTTGCCAATTTTCGTTATTTGGAAATATTTTAAATTTCTCAGATCAAAGCATGAACATGCCATGTCAGACATATAGTTCAGAACATAATTCCCTTTCTGTCTTAAATTCAAAACAATCAAAGGGGACAAAACTACGGCATAAATTAGCTATTTATGGTCGTAGTTTTAGAGACAGTTATTGAAGCTATTACTTCAGATCTTCTACTTGCCAAGGTGTTTGACTATTTATTTTTAAATTTCCCCATTATTTACTTACTGAAGATCCAAGATGGGAAAGCGTATAATGGGTGTTTCAGAACAGTTTTTTCTAGATCAACTTTGTAAGTTTTTTCTACCCTGTTTAGGGATGCATTATGTAAGATTTAGATAAAGAGCTGGTAGTTCTCACTATAATAGTTAAAATATAGATTATGAAAACTTTATAAACTGCAAAACATATATACATTACGGGAGCCACGGTGGCTCCGTGAGTAGAAGAAGGTCCCATGTTCGATCCCTGCGTGCCGGAGATTGTTCTTTAAGGCAACACTAAACACATATTTTTATTATTCTAGTATTATCACTTATTGCCATGGTAACCTCTAGTATATACGAATGTTTATTTTTTTTTCCTAAGCTCGTTTAACGTCCTTTTGACACCGATGGGGTCATTAGCTTGGTTCTAACATATGGTTTATTGCTTTTATTTGATGTGCTGGGGGGGGGGGATAAATACAGTACCGGTTGTATCCATAAATATACAGATATACAGACAGACGACTATATACCCGACCCACCCCCAGTTGTATTAAGATACATTGATTTAAGTCATCTCCACCTCTACATTGAATCGAAAGCCAATTCCCAATTCCAACACTGCTGCCTAGTCTAATGTCCACGAATACAGAGAGAGAGAGAGAGATAGAGAGAGAGATGGGGTTTAACGTTCACTCGACATAAACTAGGTAATTTCGGGACAAACATATGGTTTAATTTTATTTCAGTAATTCGCTTGCGCATCGGGGCTCTTTAGTAGTGGGACGAAACCGGAGAAAACCCACGAGGTTGGACAGGCGACTCTACTCCTTGTCACGTGCAACCGGGGAATCGAAACTACGCCAGTTGACGTAATGACAGACCGTATGATACAGCCCACACGTGCTAACCATATGCCCCCCCCCCCACCAAAGCCAAGAATATGGTGTGTGAAGTTTTCTTCTTTTAAACCAATGTGCAATGAAGATGTTAACGATCGCATGCGTAGCTACTTTTACTCTAAAGTTTTCGCATATATTATTTTCAGTAAAACATATACATAGAAAAACGATTTTTTTTATTTAAAAAAAAGTGTTAACAGAAAAATTAAAATATATACATGTATTATAGTATTTTCATAACAATTAAAGTAAGTTGCATTTCAACAATTCTAATTCAAAATTTGTTACCCTTTTGCGTAAAAGGGTAACAAACTGCGATTTAAAATTCAATCAGAAGTTTACCAAAGGCTCGATAACTTAACTGCTGAATTTGCACGAGGAACAAGATCCCGTAGTGGCACACAACTCCAACATTTTGATTGCTAGGGGGTTCCGGCCTGGGTAGCCACGATGGTTCTGTGGGTACGACGTTGGCTCGCCCACCTGCAGGTCCCGTGTTCGAATTCTGCGCCGGCCAAGAGAGTTCCTCGGAAATTTTTCCGGCGTGGTTCACGCTTGTTAGTGGCAAGGGACAGTTTATAGCCGAGCTGAGCTTCCGTGTACACATTAGCTTGCACGTAAAAGAACCCTTGACAGTTGGAATTGTAAATAAGAGTAGACCGTAGCGCCGCTGTCCTTGCAAAATTTCCCTACGAGACAGGTTCCCTACGAGACATTTTGGGTTATGCCGAATTGCAGCTTATCTGAGCCAGGGTATGTTTGACACTGTTCGATTAATATGATTTTGAAGTGATGAAGATCGAAATCTGCCAAACGCGTTCAAACGAGCTTTAAAACCACGTGATTATACGGCGGGGGCAGAGCTGGAACCCCTTAATTGTAACTGTCCGTCAACTTTACATGGGCCTCGAAATGCACAGATTAGTTCCTGAATGGAGAGAAGCGAAAGTGAATAAGTTGGACGAGAACACAGGCTGAATTGAAAGGCTATTTAAAGATGCATTATGTATGATTTAGCTGAAGAGTTGGCCGTTCTTGATGTAATAGTTCAAAAATAGATAATGTAAAATGAATACATTCCGGAGCGAAGATTGTTTATTATTGTAACAACGGTACTGGACACACGAGGCTAAGTCTTGATTATCCATTTTATCGTTACTTTAAAAAAAAATCGTAGGCGTTCTAATCCATTTAATTCTCTGCCATCCGATGGTCTTGACAAATTATTTTAGGTTTGTCATGTTAATAAATGTAACAAAAATAGTTTATATACCATTTGACGCCAGAATTAAGACCTGCAATAAGGACCTTTAGCACTTGCATAATGCATCTTTAAATACGTAGGCGATTTAAATAATTATATACACAGAATTATGCAGCTACTTCTGGTATTATATACATTATTCACAATTTCTGAGCGGCAATTTTTGATTGGTTGGTCTAGGAGATCCAGGCCGTAATTAGCGTCGAAACCATCAACAGAGAGGCACTTATGGTAACCGTAGATCCACCTAATATAAGAAAGGAAATTAAAACATGAAAAAGATTTATTAGTTATTATTAAATTGAAAACACATTACATTAGACATGAAATGTTATAGTGATTAATGTGCTATTCGTCTACACCATCCGAGCTAATGAAAACGAGCAGTGATCCATGCAGTGTGCTACGATTCCGCTTACTCCTCGTCGATCTCCTACTCTCATTTTAACGTTTACACCTAACCTTGGGTTTTCTTCCTATTAGATCGACTAGACACTTTTCCTTGCCAGGTGTCCTGGGAGGGGGGACTTCCTCAGGCAACACCGGGATCGAACTCCTGACCTCCTGTTTAGTAAGCTAGCGACCTACTCACCGTGACTCTCAATTCATTTAAATAAGTAACACATAGAGACACTTGCCCCTTGGAAAACGTTGTCTAATCGCATGGAAGACGTATAATGCACAGTATGTAAGATATGAGGGCCAACGGGTCCAATGGATGGGATAACTTATCTAATGAAATTATACACGCTCGTCGTATAAGGCACCATTGGTGTAATGTTTGACAACATATTGATGATAATGTAGAGAGTCCAGATTAAGAAACAGAAAATACCTACCACATACAACATCTAGAGAGTAATAATACGTATGATATTTGGTTAAATAGTCACCATAGAAACAACCTCTATGTTCTAAACACTCTCTATAGCTGTATAAGACCCTGAAATACATACAGGAATGAATGAATAAATGAATTTGGGTTTAATCTACTTTTCTGCTCCAACCGGGTTAATGAAATCCAGTGTGCTATGAGGTAAATGTTTCCCCGACAGACATTGTATCTTATCGCACTCTACTTCAATAATAAGGCTACATCGTGTTCTTTTTTTTGCGTCACTATTCCTAACTCTTCAAATCTCTATTACGTATCAATTTACATCACTATATGTTTTATTATATCTGTTTGTTTTGGGATATTAGTAGATTTAATTCAGTTAATATTGGTAAATATCTCATGGGAGACAAACAAGGCTTTAATAGGCATCGAATAGTGCACACAGTACTACAAATACAGTTCGAATAGTCTTAAAGATACATTATGTAAGATTTAGATAAAGAGCTAGCCATTCTTGCTATAATAGTTCGAAAATAGATAATGTAAAATGATTAATGTGACAATTTCAATCAAATTACTCTATTGCGAACGAAGAAATTAGCCTTTGAAGGTTTGGCAAAACGTGTGCAATAATTTCAACCACCGTACTGGTTGTTCGAAGCTAAGTCTCACTCCTCCATTTTTTTTTTTTTTTTAGCTTAAATCAAAATATAGCTGAATTGTTCTAATCTATTTAATATCGGAGAAATCCGACGTCATCAAGAGTTGATTATGGCCTGGATAAGTTAATTAATGTCTAATTAATGATTTAGAAAACATTTCAGGCTTAAAGAAAGACCTGCAATAGGCAGATTTAGCTCTTACATAATGTATGTTTAAATACTGTTAGCTCTATGTTGGAAGATTAGTATTAAGACTAATATCTATTTTCAGAAGCACCAAGAAAATTGACAATTAAAAAGAAAGGCGCTGTTTCAATATGCAATTGCTTATTATATTGTTATAATAACAGACCAACGAATGAGTGAAAACATCAAAATATTATTAACATGACCTCTTACTCAGTCAATGTCCTTACCTGCATTTTTCTTCTCGTGATTTGCCGTAGGTCTGACCGTAGACGCAATCCCTAGGTTGCCAACATTCACCATTTACAGATTGTATGATGTACAGCACTACAAAGAAAAGAACAGAGTTTATTTAGTAAATAATGCAATCGACGGGATATGCACACCTTAAACACAATAACGTTCGGGAAGCCGCGGCGGCTCAGTGAGTAAGACGCTGGCTCGCTATCCAGGAGGTCTCAAGTGCACTTCCAGTGTGACCGAGAAAATTCCTCGATGTTTTCGTTCGTAATCCCCTTGTAAGTGGTGCAGGACGGAGGTCATGGCAAGGGCGGAGTTTAGTCGTTCCGATGGGACGGAAACCGAAGTCATGTGTACACTTTGGCGTGCACGTAAAAGAACTCTCGACATTTGAAATCCGAAATACGAGTACATGTAGGCCGTAGCGTCGCTGACCAGGCAAAACTTTCCTCAAAGTACACTGTATGACGCATGTCTGTCTTTATTAGTATACTCGGTACAGACAATTAGGACGTTAAACCCCATTTCATCTCATTTCATTGTAGATGTCAACGGTGAAAGATTGATAATCATGTCACCAGAAGGGCAGTAATAAATAAATAACAGATACATACCAAATGATTTATGTACAGATAACACTATATTAAACATTTTTCGATTAGTGAGGGCAATATATATGACCGCGTGACCCATGGCTAGAAATTACCCTTTACTTAGCCGTATAACTGTTTACATTTGGGTTTAGTTGTCTTTGTAAAATAATGTTACAATTTCCTTGAACAAGGGTTGGGATAACTGAAAAGGTCAAAGTATACTGGATCTAGTTAAAGGCACAGAAACCATTTTGAGTGTGGGTCAGAACTGGGAACACCATTCTGTGGTCATTCTTTGAATAACATACAGTATTTTTATTATTATTATTTCTATAGTTATGTATGCAATGAGGGGCAACGAATGCCGCCCGCCTACTCGGTCAAGAATTTCAACTATTAAAGTTTGCTATATGCACGCCAATTTGTACATCCGAACAAGTAGGCACGCTTTCCTTGTAAATCCCAGACTGGTGACAACCAGTTTCGGTACACCAGAAACTGTACCTGGTTTGGCAAAGTGGTTGAGTTACAGCACACTGCAAGTTAAAGGAACTGCTAATCAAACTATTGAAATCCGCCATTTCTCGCAAAAGTTGATTTAATAAAATTATTTATTACCCGAATATATCTGTTTTTATAGACCAGATTTATAAATATATGTTTATTGTTTTTAAGTTCAATCGTTTGGTTTCATATACCGAAGACCCCCCCCCCCCATAAAAAAAAACAACAACACACATTCTCTGATACATATTAGTAACATGTCACCATCTGTATGAATCTGTTGAAAATATAAGTATAATGGTAATCCTAGTTGGTGTATATTGTTAATTCCTTAGATACTATTTTATAATAAATACCGATTTGTACATTTATATAGATTCTAGGTTTCATCCCGTTTCCAGGACAGTTACTCTGCTTGTCGGACGTGCTGTTCTCCGTATATGATGTTAAATGTTTTCCGGTAATAAATAGTCTCAAGGATAGTTCCAGTCTTTAGTTATTATCGAAGATTTACACTGTTACAGATTGGTGGAGTGCTTTGTGAGGCAAGATCTCGGAACCTCTTTCAAGCGAGTATCCCAAAGAAAAATCAGATATGGAACAGATAGTGATACCAGATGAATTGGCGGAAATAATGAAAGTAACGAAGATCAACTCGAAGGCCAACCAATGGAGGATAGACCATAAAGATAGTAACACTTCCATAGTTTTAACGTGGTGCAGTTTTCATCGTGATTCAGATATATCGAATAGAAAATCTACTAGCAAACAGAACAGAGATTTTCTAAGAGGCCAGCGTTTTAAGGAGATGATTTCTGCAAAAAGATCGAGCGTATCATCAATAAATTCGATTTCTACAAAGGCCGACATCTCTATTCAGACCAGCAAGATATCGTCAACCAAATCTAGTGAATGTCAAACAGATTGTCTTGGACGTTCGGATAAATGTATAATGGCTATTCCGGACACATATACAAAGAGTGTCCAACCCTTTGACATAAAAACCGGATGTCATGGTAGCTTCAACGCCACAGATCCAAGAAACAGAAACGGTGTTAAAAAGGCGTGTTAAGAAGGGACAGCTTGAATACTTAATCCGATGGAAGAATCAACCTGCAACCAAACATTTGGGTGAAGGAAGACAAATTGGACCAGAAAGCTGTTTCCTTTATAGCTAACTATCCGAATAAAATTGCTGGCCCAGAGCAGTGGTTTGTAGAAACGTTGTTAAATCAACATAAACGGAATTAGGAAGAGCTTAAGGTCTTCCCGAGAGGCAGGTGGACATATCCAGATAAATCAAGTTTGAAATTAGCGGGATTTACCCGAATGGAAATCAATCAAAAATCTGGAAAATTACAGTTAAATGTAGAAAGGCAGGGTCCAGGTCCGAATGAGGGAGATGTTTATAGTCGATTTGACCTAGAGGACTGGGACATTATTGCTAAAGAAGATCCAGTATTCTTTCGTAGTATCAAACACACATTACCCCCAGGGAATTATTCATTAAAGTGATTGAATATTGTTTTATGTTGTGTTATTAAAAAATGTGAATTTGTATGAACTGTTTTAAACCACTGACTTTTTATGTATTCACTGATCTCTAATTATTTGCCTTTAATTTATAATGTTTTGGATAAGATTTATTATTACATTCCCGTTCGAATGTTGCTATAGTTATTTATTCTGCATAAGCAATTAAATCGATATTATCGATGCCGTAGATTAATTCATAAACACTTCAGCATAAAAGCTTCTTTGGAATATTATGTTTCATTTAATCATTTAATTTCAAATTTTAGTTAATTCATAGTATAGTATCTTATTATTGTCGACATTTTAATTATTTATTATTATCGCGGACTCAAATATATATGACGTCATAAGCCATTCAGATTATATCCATAATGATGAACAATAATTATTGTTTTCCCCCCCCCCACCCCCCAATTATATCTTTATCTTGTATATATACTTAATGTATATTAAAGTGAAAAGGCTTCATACATTTAACACAACCCTCCGAATTTTTAGCAGTACTATCAATGTTTATTTCTATTATGTTAGTATGATCCGAGGACGAATCATTTTCACCACAGAGGAAATTATAATGGTGATAATATTGTGAATTGTTGTTATTTCCTTCTTTCAATATATCATTCATTCATTGTTCATTCTTTCATTTAAACATTTCTATTTTTCTTATGTTTCTATTAATCCTGCGTTGTTAATTAGACGTTAAGCTACTTATCTAATGACTGATCGTTGACAGCTGACACATTAATGAGTTTAATTACTACCTTATTGTTTTATTTTATTGCAATCTCTTTTATATTTTAATCTTACCTCTTTAATTGTTATTAGTATAGTTGGTGTATATTGTTAATTCCTTAGATACTATTTTATTATAAATACCGATTTGTACATTTATATAGATTCTAGGTTTCATCCCGTTTCCAGGACAGTTACTCTGCTTGTCGGACGCGCTGTTCTCCGTATATGATGTTAAATGTTTTCCGGTAATAAATAGTCTCAAGGATAGTTCCAGTCTTTAGTTATTATCGAAGATTTACACTGTTACAATACCGTACTATGATTAACAGTCTTGATAGTACAATTGATCATACTATTGATTTTGGAGATACCTTTGAAGCATTTGGCATGTTGCCCCTTTTACCGAAATGTAAACAATTTGGAGTGTTTTTGTTTACACCCTAATGTTTACGGCATGATTTCAAATATGCTGACAAGGTCCAGTCGCCTAATTTTCAGAATATCAGTTCAATATATATATATTTTTGGGGGTTAAAATGATGAAGACGTTTATCGTAATATAACCGGATATTCTGTGTTCCAAAACAATAGACTGTTTTATAAAGGTTGTTTTCTTAAAACCAGGTGTTTTTATATGTTTTTTTTATTTTTTTACTTATTGGCTATTAGACAGTGCTAACCCTGCGTTGCATTGTTTCCCCGCCAACTTTTCATTTTAATTTTGTAACCACCAAAACAAAATAAAAATATATTTTAGTTTGTTTTTTTTTTAGAAAATTGTATGTTATAGCTATTTTTTCTACCACTTAATCGTAATAACAATCCATCCAATTATGTTAGGGATAATTATTATGACTGGTTTACAAAGAATAGTATAAAATTTATTGACTGATTTTAAATGAATAGTATGCAATGTTATGAATGGGTTTACACAAATAAAATGGCATGTTATGACTGCTTTTGAGTATGAAATGTCATGCCTGGTTTTAAACAAATATTGTGACATGTTATGACTGCTTTTGAGTATGAAATGTTATGCCTGGTTTTAAACAAATATTATGACTGCTTTTGAGTATGCAATGTTATGCCTGGTTTTAAACAAACATTATGACATGTTATGACTGCTTTTGAGTATGAAATGTTTTGCCTGGATTTAAACAAATATTACGAAATTTTAAACGAATAGTATGAACTGTTATGATTATGTATTTTTTAATGGTCGAGAGCGAGACATTAAGTAATATATTGTAACAACATGAGGGCCGTAGGCCCGAATGTTTTTACAATATATTACGCAATGTCGTAAGCTCGAGACCATTAAACATCTTAAAATACTGACACTCCGCACGAGCTTTTACGTCACACTAGTCCAATATCTCACTGGTATGAATAAAGTACTATTGGCAAGTTGCCCGTACGATTATTTGAAATAATGGTACGCCAACATCAAAGGGTGACGTCACATCTGTATTTTAATTTTAGATAAACGGTATGACATTTTATGATTATAATATATACTGTAGATATCTGTACGTATAGTCCTATAGTACACTAGTACACATAGTATGTTAAGTTTTATGGTTGAAATAGTTATTTTGTGGGTTGTTTTATCTGTATTATATTCATTGCCTATTATTTTAAGGGTTTACCTGCAGTGTCTCATAGGGCTTTGTTGGGCTGAAACCATACTATATTGTATGAACTCTGGAAATATTCTGCTGATATGGGACAGTTTAATAAAATAAATTAGTATTATATTCAGTTATTGAATGTCTATCAAGGAAGTTTGATTAAACTGACACTGCATTGCCTTTCATTTATCTCGTTCTCAAGCTTTTATGAGTTTGGTGACCTTAAAAGTAGAAATTACTCAGCAATTTGCTATATAAATATTCTGAATATGTCGCCAGGGTGCATTCTTATTACCCAATAAAACAACCCTGTACAAGTTTGAAATGAAAATCTCTCAAGGACTCTGATCGGTAGAGCATCGATAAGAAATTGTGAACATGTGATAGTACTGACATTTTGTTTCGTTATTTTACACATCTTTAATACTAAAAGGTAGCAAACAGTCGGCCACAGGACGACAAACAATTTGTAGCTCGAGGGCTGTTTGTAGTATGTTTAGCCATGCATATTTTAAGGGAAATTCTAGATTGACAGGTCATGAGCAGTAAACCGCAACGCTGAGATAAAGCTTATATGTATTTATATACCATGTACGTGGGGTCGGTTGGGGTTGACATGTAGCTGGCCCACATATGCACGAGTCCGCTTGGTGAGGTGAACATATTACAAAGAAACCGTTGCGACGACAGATGGGACACGATGCTATTTTAAGAATAAACGAAAAACACCTCATTCCTTTGTTTCCGTGGCTTTCTGATTACATGACTAACACCCAATAGAGTTCGCCATATAGCATATCAGGCGTAATATAATGCCTCTGACTATACGTGGTAAAGTAACTAATATCTACCATACAATGTATATCACCACGATACATGTATTGATTACGGATAATCAGAAGTAGGTCATCTCAGTATGGTTCGACAATAGTATGTATTCTATTTACCTGTAAATAATGCCAGTATAAAGACGCCCTTCATTTTGTTATCTTCCTGGTTTGTCGAAAAAAAAACTATACATGTAGCACGACGAGACAGCGGACGCCAAACTCACATGAGTCCTAGAAATCCAGCCGAGCGTACACTGTAATGAATTGCACATACATAATAGATTTTGTACCTTCAAATCCTGTCCAATCAAAAGCAGTTTTATTAAAGCCGATATACTGTCGTATCATTGCTCAGGTATTTCCCTTAAATGTACTTTAAATAAAACCTGTCTGCGTTTAAGGGAGCTAACTCCAAGCAGGACTGTGTTAAAATCCGGGTACGACCAGCGTTGCAGGTAATACAGGACATACTTCTACGGAGCAGATTCACTGTTTCAACAAGTATTTTCCACATACTTTTGTCTATCCAGCATATTTACTAAAATATGAAACAATTTACTAGTAGTTATATTGCATGGAACAATGTTAGGTAATGTGGTTTGAGAGGAATATCAATTTTATTTGCGTGATACAATAATATAAACGTTTTGTTATTTAGAGCGTATGTCCCAAACTAATAAATTTTGAGTGTGTTAATTCTGGATTCCTTTGTTTACATATTAAATTTATTAGCTAGGATGTAAACGTAATCAAACGTGATTTTTACCTGGTACACCAACGTGGATTTGTAATCTGACCATATTTAAAATAAACAGGCGCTCAGTTTTAAAAATAATCGAATATTCCTTAACTGTTTTAACGAACGGTGCTTAGTGAAAAGTAACATTGCGAGGCGTCTGGATCCTACTGTTCCGACAGAAAAACAATCTTATTTTGCAATGCATTAGATCAAATGTGCCGCAACACAAAAAGAGTACACTAGGGGTGGACTGCTCACCGCCGCCCACCCTTTCACGTTAAGGTATGCAACTGTTTGAACCACAAATATTTAAAAAAAACCAAAGTTGTATATGTAGACGCGTATATAATGTATTTAATATATGACCCACAAATGTACAAAACAAAAGTTATATTTAAACGCGTATAGAATTAGTAGGCTGCACGTATATTATATATACTGATATAGTTTATTTCGTTGATCCTATTATGTAATACTATATTATATGCATCCGTGTTCAAGTAACTACTTATTACACAAATTATGTGGATAATGATATATTCATTATTATATAATTCCGTGAAGGCGATTAACATGTAATCATTATTCGGAATTTATAAATTATAAAAAGTTTGCCACTTGTCAGAGGTGGCGTCTGCAGAGTTGAAAAGTAAAGTGCTACCTAGTCGTTGAGATGGGACGAAAATCTTATACCCATGAATGTATACGTCAAATTGTCCTATTAAGTTGATTATAGAAACAGACACAAGCATGCTAGTTTCAAAAGTATAAGATAATACAATTGTTGACAAATCGATATTACATCCATTGAAAGAGTCGTGTACGAGGCGAGGTATGCTTTTTCTTTTCGGAATACCTGATTATGATAATCATCACTTTGCTGTCTCGTGACTAACAGTTTCATATTCAAAGTTTCTTATAATGTCGTTGAATAGAGAATTTAAATTGTCTGTTTTCAAACATGCTGATTATTCTCTCCGCTTGGTTAAACATGTGTGCTTTATTTCTCTTTTACATTCGGGCTAAATGACAAGTGAATTTGAAGTAATCCGACAGTGAAATACATCAAGTGTTACTAATGTATTTTTTAGGCGCTATAATCCTCTATTGAAAAACACATTACTAAAATAGACCAACGTTAGGCAGATTTATTGCCCCTTCTAACTTGAAAGCTACACAAGATATGTATTACTACTTTCAGATAATGCATTTTGATATAGAAAAATTCAAACATATACATCTTATAGACAATTTCTTTCGTTGCTGTACCCTTGTCTGGTCATAAACTGCAAACTGTGGAATTATAGTTTGTGTAAAATTTTATTATACAACATGGGAGAGAGAAAGTGAGAAATAAGGTTTAACGTCCACTCGACAAACACTAGGTCATTTCTGGACATAAAACGCACTTCCGTGTTTATTTGAAACACAAAGATAAAGCTCTAAAAGCATTTGTTTTATAATCGTATAAGGAAAGTCGAGATTTAATTCTTTTCTGTTAATTGCACAGAATATCTAAAGAAAAGTATGACTGATATACTTATGTCTATCATGTTCAAACAGTTAAAATTATGACAGACCTACTCTTCAGACTTATTGACTATCTGTCTAACACTCTTTCTATCTACAGATGTCGATCATACACGAGTTTATAGTTTGTTTTATATCATTTATTCTTGTAGAGTCGATGAAAGGAGGGGGAGATCTTATTTATTACCTGTCAACATAACTACTTGAGTTTATCGAGCTCTGTACATAGGTACGTCTATACACCTGATGGTATTCATGTATGACATATAATAAAACTGATCTGCACGGATATCGATAAGTCAAGATACATAATAATCAGTGACCTTATCGTTACACTATTGTAGAGAGAGAGGGAGGAGAGAGATAGAGAAAGGGGTGAGGGCGCTTATAGAACGCTGTGTTTCCACAATGTGTAAATGTAATTTTCCTTTCTTTATGTATTTTGTAACGTGTTTAACAATTGGCCAGTGGGCGATGACAGTTCACCAGCTAATAAGAATAGTAGTTGCCAACTGAATTATTTTGAATATGACTTAATTAATGTGTTCCCGATATTACTTCGATAATCTCAAATTAAACCTAGTAATCTCAATTAGGGCCAATTATCCTGTATTTGACAATAAGCGCTTACGGAATAAGAATAACACATTGCTTATGTGTAATACATGTTCTTGAAGCAATGTAGCGAGTTAGTTTTATAACTATAAATAACATACAACTATAAATCAATAAGTTCATAGATTCACATGTGTTTGTTAGAAATCGTATTTGGAAAACAGTCGTTAAATAATACTATAAGTAAACAAATCGAAACAGACCAGTGTTCAAAGAGGGTTTTCCCATATCTTATATTCTCATTTTGGCTATCCCGTCCCCAGTATAAAGACGGTTTCCATATATTATTCATAAGGACCCTTTCTATTGTCCAGATAAGCTGTTATAATCGCTAGGTATTGTGTGAGAAATGTGGTCAAATGTCATCTTGTACTGTTATTCACACTCATGTACTGCAACTGGATTGACAAAGAAAGAAAGGCATTCTTGTTAAAACTAGAAGTGCGACATATGCGGAGCCCCCCCCCCCCCCCCCGACACACACGCGCATCCCAAATAACTTGTCTAACTTGTCCAATCGTATACGTGCAAATGAACTAAAACAAAATTTGTCTTTCATATTCAGTTTTGATCCAACCGAAGCGCTACTTAAATGTATTTTACATTATGTATTCGGTATCCTACCAGCCAAGAAGAATAGTGGTTGTCAATTGAATGAAGTGGGTTGGCCGTATAGCTTTCTTCGACTCTAGTTCATTTCCGTGTGTGTTTTCCTTAATTCAAGTCTGTTTACTCCCTTATCTTTACGCCCCGAATTCTAAGATATTCATCAAAACTTTGGAGTTCAAATCGATTCAAGACTTAAAGTCGACAAACATTGCAATGCTTACTAAACCGATGCAGACCACCAAATATTATTCATTGACTTTAATGTCAATTCTGGCCAGGTTCGAAATTATTCACAAATTTTCACTGGGATGAAACCTCTCCGCCACAGACAGAGCAACACCTGGCACTGTCTTACTACAAAGCTTGTAAGAAGTTGTCAATGAACATTTTGAGATACACAAATTGGAAGTAGCATACTAGCAAACATGTATCCGTCAAACCTACCACCATAAACGACACATTAGCTCATTCTCCACACAAATCTCAATATCCAGCATTCGACTCTCAGCACTCGACTTTGCCGTCGAATCGCGCACTATATTGGTTGATCCAGAGGTCATTGTGTGACAACCAATGGGCACTCTACCTCCAAAATAGGACAGTGCGCACTACTGGTTAATGTCCGAGGGGGTGGTTTTTCTTAAGACTCTCCTCGGGCCACGACGTCTCTACAGAATAACGGAGCAAGTGTCAGCTAAAAAGTGACTATTCAGTTACCGATCCCCTCGCTTAGATCCAACACCTCGGCACCCACAGCTTCCACGGGTAATACCTGCAAAACAACCGCTCCAGAGGAGACACAGCACAAGGTCTAGCAACCGCAAGCAGGGCCTAGCTGCAACCGGGTTGAGTCCAATGTAATTAAAGGCCCGGCGGTGACTGCAACTTACGTTACAGCGACTAAAGGGGCTAATCCAGTATGTACTAACACAGATGATTGAACACATGTGAATTTTGATATATATATGCAAAGTCCTAAACGCGGCCACAGATTGGTACACGTACACGTGATAGACACAACACAACACAGGTACACGTAAGAATCCAAAAAGAAGGCGAACACCTCATCAACACTAGACCGATGCCCAATGCTATTACTGATAGCCTTATATCAGGCTCACGACACCTGCCCCAAGAGCGGTTCACAATAATCCAAAACACCAGCTAGACACTTTCCACTACCTACCGATTCCACTCGATCCGAGCTTCGTTCTGCCGAAAAAGTAGGTTCCCGCTAGTTTTATCAGGTGACGTGGCGTCAGCTTCTCGCTGAGCCGAAGTCTCGCTAACGCGACACGGCGGTACTCAAAAAGTAAACAACACGGGGTAAAGAAAAATAATACAAGTGGATTTATTAAGAACGATGATTGATGATTGATAAAAAAAATTAAAATGAGATGAGGGGGTGATTATTGACGGAAGCAATGAGCAATGTGAGACAGTGAGCCAAAAGATTTAATTTAGAATTTAGAGAAAAAAAGAATATCCCAAAGACGATCGCCAAAACCAATAATAAACAATAGAAATTTCCGGTCATCACATTACCCACGCCTCCGCCCAATGCGTCACGCATTGCAACAATGAAAACAAAAGCTGGATGAAAATAATAAAATAAATAAATCACAGTTAAATCACTGATGAGTTAAATCACAGTTGATTAAAATAAGTTCTATCCGGGCATCGTACTAGAATCTCTTCGCCCGCATCAACTCCATAGCCTCCTGATACTCCTTCACGTCCGTTTCCCACTCCTCCTCAATGACAACTCTCCTAATTTTCCCATCCTCCAATCTCTCTTCTGTCGTCGTAGTTCGTCTTAC